AGGTAAAAGAGATCAGTAGTTACAGCACACCTCAAGTCTGTGGTAGCAAGAAGGGTTTATAGGGAGTAAATGGCCAACAGAGCCATCCTAAATACAAATATGGAAAAGAATAGATTCAGAGTATTTGATGCACCGGGCTGGTTTACTTGAGTTGCTGTATCAACATCTACAAGACTAAAGTAATTAACATTCTTTTGTTGCACGTTTCAATATTTAATCCACCTGACTAAAAACTGAGGGGTGATTTCCATTATTTGTATCATTCTGGGTGGAAAGAATCTTGTGAATCATCTGAGATAGTTTCCAGCACTGCTGGTAAAATTAAACTTCCCACCAGCAAAGACTTAGGTGTGCACAGATGGAAAGCCTGCATATAGTCAGTGAGACAAAACCGGTGTATTTTCAGGCTGAGTTAGTATTTGTAGTCCAGGTTCTCCTCCTGGCTGCGTCACAGTGCAGTGATGGAGAAGTCAATGTGCTGTGGGAGGTGCTCCATCACATCCCTGAACAGTTTCAAGATCTACCCCACTGAGATGGCCAGAGGTCATAAGTCTTATAATATAAATTTTAAAAACTTAAGCTGTTAAAGAAACCTGAAAACAGTAAGGAGGAAATGGAGTACCAGCTGTGTCACATGCTGTCATCCCAGTGTACAAGAACAAAAAGGAAATTAACATGAAAAATACATTTGGTGTCACAATGTTTTCACAACTACTTTCACTACTTCAGGAGTCACCAGTACAAAGATACATTCACCCCTGTTACCCCACACCCTCAGAAACATGCACCTTTAATTTACAGGCCTGCCAGTAATGAGGGATGAAGGATGTGGGATGAATATGTAGGGGAGACAACACGAAATGCTTTACAAGAGAGAGAGAGAGAGAGTTACCTTCCTTAACATAGAGGTATGTGTCGTTTGGAAGATAAAGGTAAATCCTTCAACGGGATTTTTCCTTGCTTCCCTTTAGAGCATGAAGTCAATCTGTATTACTATTGTCTGTTGAAAAACTGGCTCATAAGCCCTTATATAAAGCTGTGTGGATGAAGAACTGCAACAAGCATTACTACCTTTGTGAGCAGAGAGAATTCCAGTGTAAGATTCGTTCACAGAGAGAGGCTTGACCTACAAAGTACGTGCCAAATTACTATTTCCCTCTGTGTTAGGATGTTTCTGATCCAGAAGTTCACACAGGCAAACCTGAACATCGTTAGGAGTACTATACTATTAAACATACACATTGTTCCCAGCTGAAGCTCAGTTATTTGTATCACACTTCCAAATCAGACTGCTCTCCATCAGAGAGCCAGGAAGTCATCTGTCATTCTCAGAAGCTGATTTAATGGGGAGCAGTTTCTAAAGGGGAGTGGGGGCATAGGGGTTGTGGTGCCTCCCTTGGATGCTCACATGCTCCCCTGCAGCAGAACTGGGGGATCTCTAGCCAGTTAGGAGATCCATCTTGTCAAATGCATACAAAGGATCAAATCCTTCCGAGTGGCCTGTTTTCTGTCTGTGCAGCTCCTTGAACCAGCTCACTGCAGGGCCTGCCCTGCACTGTTGACAGTGTTGGAGCTGCGATGGAGTAAGGAAAGCTGCAGGATGTGCAGCAGGAGCACGCATGGGGAGGACTACCCTGCCTGCAGTAGCTAAACAACAGATGGGCTTAATCCATCAGAATGCAGCACTCTCAAGCTGCTCCTTGCAGTACATGTGTAGCATATCTACAAGAATGGAAGTGCAGCAAGAAACATTAAACAGGCAAAGCTTGGATTTTAGGATTTAGCAGAAGTACTTAGGCTGAAGCACCTTCCATGTTCTAAATCAGATTCTGTCAGATCAGTGCTGGGGATTTTTCAAGACAGAACCACCCAAGCCCATATTAGAGTGCTGGTGCTTACACTGTCGCTGCAGCCTGATCTGATGACTGAGTGGGGACTCTTTAAGAGCCTAAAAATAAAACCGTTGTGAGACAGACTGGCTTTTCTTTAGTCCTGTGACCCCTGGCAGCTAAGTTAATACCTGCTATCAGTAAAAAACACACAGTTCATAAACCTTCTGTCAGATGATGAGAACTTTCAAGAATCTCACATGGAAAGTGCTAGCTTGAATCACAGTTTTGGTGGTTTCTGATGTCATTCCCTCCTGTCAGGAAAATGACATAAGTTCACGTGAAATACCACAGAGGCTGAATAACTCAAATTTTTAGCAGGTTCTATCAAGAACTGGCTCTACTGGTAAGGGTAAGGGCATGTATAAAGAGACCTGGGGGGGGGGGGCTCGCAATGCCACTACTCATGCTGAAAGTGGGTCTGTAAAGAGGAAGGTCTCACAGCACCTTTGGGGAGCACCCAAGTGAAGTCACAGACTAAAACCTTGTTTTCCTGAAATCTAAAGGCTCTGCTGATTTCTGCCTAGCTGAAGGATGTATAGTCCTAACTGACTTCTCCAACTTCTGCTTAATAGGAATGGTATGTGTGGTGGGTCTTCCATTGATAAGTGTGGAAATATCAAAGTCTCATTCAGGAATGAGACACCACATTTTGTAATTGTGGCTCTGATTGTACCAGGGATTACAACAAAAACATGACAGTCATTGCAGGTAAAATCATTTGCTCGCTGCTGTACTATCTGGCAGAGGGTTTCTTCTTCAGACCCAGCCATATCAATGACTTCTATATGTGTGTCTCTCTTCTTGATATTAAGCAGAGATCGAGGAGGCATGTAGGTGTGAGCAAAAAGTAGAGTGTAGTGCCTTGAATGGGTTGAGGACTCTGGAGAATGCACGAGTTGCTCCAAGTGAAACAAACATGGTATCAGTCCTCCCTGGTGTAAGCACCCAAACAGCAAAGCCCCGAGCATGTTGAAAATAACAATGACGTATTTCCACTTCATAGCTCTGTTCTGTGACGTGCTGAACAGGACTAACGGCAAGATGAGAGGAATAAGAAACCGAGGTTCTTGGTGACTGAATAGAGAGAGAAATGCCAGAGGAACAAAATAAAACAGCAGTAATGTTGGCTTACCCTTGGAATGCACTAAGTGCCCAGACGACCCATGGTAACATGATTTGACCCGTATTAACTGACAAATATATTGCTTTAACATTTTACAACCAGCACCAATGGCCAGAACATGCAAGATCCCAAAGAGCATCATTCCGTTGACTGTAAAATGTGTAACTCGTGGGTGACTTCCATGCAGTGCAAGATTATGAGGATTAAGATTGTAACTGAGAAAATTGAAAGGGGTTACTATAATTTTCTCATTTAATTGACCTATTACATCAAATAGACTGTTATTCTTAATGTTGTAGAGGTTGTCTAAGCCCACGGCGGTGAAATAGAAGGTGTCAGCTGTTATGAAAACAACAGCAGTAAAACATGCACATAGGACAAGCTTCAAGAAGTGGTTTATGACAGTTTTAATGCTCCTTTGAGAGTCAACAATGAAACCTGCCCAGTAAAGCAGGGGCATTAGAGCAAATGCCAAAAATGTTGGCCTGTTGAAAAACCCAGCAGTTGTTACAATACCTATGAGAGGGCTGTGTGTAGGCTCCGCTAAGCTGCTGTTAGGCTTTCTTGAGGAAACCAGTACCATCAGAAGAGCAAAGAGAAGTCCTTCAAGTGTGTTGGTAAAGGTTCTTGTATAAAATACCAGAGTGACATATGATCCAGCAAGAAGCACCAGTGCTTTCCACCGATCTGCTTCCCAGGAAGGAGCTAATCGATAAACACTATAGTCAAGTATGAAAGAAAAGATTGTAAAGAGAAGGCGAGGTGATACAAGAAGGGTGTAGCTGTTGATGCAACTTGAACATATGTCCAGCTGCTGCAAAGACTTGATCACCCAGTAGGTAATGCCAGAAGTCATTAGCGGGAAAACAACTGTCCTGCAAGGAGAGCTGGAAAGGAACTCCCAAGGGTAATAGACTTGTAGGTTTAAAATATCCCCTATAAAGGAAGAAAAAATAAAAATACATAGATACATAATATATTTTATTTAGTAATTCAGCATTACGGATACAACTCAGTATGAGAGACATCATGATGCAGAGCAGGCCCTGAACTTCTGAGACGGGAGTCAACCTTGAAACGTTTAGGAGGGTACAACTGTTTTTTACAGTTTTTCAAGAACAGAAGGTAAGCCCCGTTTGGGTGGAAGGGTTCCGGGCGCCGCTTGCCTTGGGCAGCGCACGGCAGAAGCAGCACCCCCAGACGGCAAGCCCGCCGCTGCCCTGCCGCAGGAGCCGCGCTGTAGCGGCGGCGGGCGGTTTGCCGCAGAGGAAGGGCCGCGTCCCAGCGCCGGTAAGAGCCGGCTACGCGCCCGTGTATGCCGCTGTTCGGCGGAGCCCCCGCTGTGGGGTTGCCGGGGGCCACGCACCCCCACCCGGGGGCCGTCGCCACCCCGAGCCACGGCCGACCGGAGCGGGCGGAACCGTCCCTGCCGCCGCCGCCCGCTGAGGGGCCGCGGCCCAGCGCCCCGCCCCAGCCCCGCCCGCCGCCTTACCTGCCATCACCTCGGGCGACTGGAAGAACTCGTCGGGGTGCAGATAGCCGGCCTGCGGCAGCAGGCACCAGCCCGCCCGCAGCGCGGCCAGGAGCGCCCACAGCTCCCTGGCCCCCATGCCGGGCTGCGGGGACACAGAGACTGAGCCGCCGCCGCCAGGGGGCGCGCGGGCGCTCTAGCCGAGGCGCAGCAGCGGACACCCCGCGCATGCGCAGCACCCTTCGCCCCGCAGGTGCGGCGGCGGTACAGTGCGCGCTGGACACCAACCGGAGCAGAAGCGGCCGAAAACGTGAGAGGGGAAACGGCAGCAGTCACATCTGGGCGAGAATCTGGCAGTAACCGGCGTCTGGGGCTGCGGCACAGCCCCGCAGCCAAACCGACCACCGGGGCGGCCGAGCTCTGCCCTGCATCAGCCGAGGGCAGGGAAGCAATGGGCACCTGGTGGTTTCCCAGAACAGTGAGGAAAAAGAGGAGTTTAGGGTTCAGGCTGAAGTCCGGATGAACTATAATTCTCATGTTTATTTGTTAATTTCGCTTATTTACATTATTATTATCATCTGGTTCTGTAAGTTTTTTATTACACTGAATGTCTTTTGATCCCAGGATCATGGGGTAGTAGCCGTAGTGAGGAGGATGCTGCCTGCCAGCAACACAGCAACAGCTGTTGTTATTGCAGCTACGGATAAAACCTGAATGCTACAAACCAGTAAATACAGAGACTGTTAATCAGAACGTGAACCGTTTTCACTGACAGTGAAATACAAGTTTCATGCACAGGCACTCAAGGTAACCCCACGTGGACAGAAGGAGGACAAATACAAGTTTCTTGATGGAGACTGCATCAAATTGAAGGTCATAGGCATCTCTCCCAAGCAGTGAGTATTGGTTGAGGAAAGTCAGCAAGCTCAGTGGATGCACACATTTGGCTTTGTTCTTTTCTCCGCCAACAGGTGGTCCCCTTCAAGAATCTGTGGCCTTGTCATCCACTGTCTTTAGAGATTCCCCCTACATTCTTCTGCTGGAGGGGGGGGGGCTTGCCTGTGGCTGAAGCTGTGTTCTGGATTGCAGGTTGTCTCTGTCCAGAGCCTGTCGTCTGGGCACTCACCTGGCAGCAGAGCTCAGGAGGAGCTGCTGCCCCCAGCAAGGGTAGGATAGGATAAGCAGGGATGTAGGAGTCTGAACATAACCAGCCAAGAGGCCAGATGGAATTCACTAAACAAGATTTTTGATAAAGCTCTCCAAGATGCAGAAATTCTTCTACAGGCCAGAAACTCGGTATTCATCTAACACCACCTGGGAATCCTCCAGCCAGGGGTGGTTCAACATGAGCAAAAAAGGCAGAGATGCCCCAGTTTTTGACTGGTCTTGTAAACCACGCTGACACTGCATTGCTGGCCTCTGCCCCAAATCCCACCCCATCCACGCAGACAGGGGCAGCTTCCAGCCCCAGCCCACTCCCCTGACAAGCAAGTGCTGTTAGCACGTGCCCTGCAAGAGGCAGGAAGAGGCATTCGAATGTCAGCACAATGTATTATCCAAATGGCTGCTACGAACAAAAGATGGTAGGGCAGAGGTGATCTGGGTGTTACTATTTGGACCACGCTAGTCTGAGCATTGTGTCTGACATAAAATAAGTAGGGGAATGACAGTAGCCATGAGTAGGTATTGTCTTATCTTATTACTTGCTCCAGAGCACTGTGGTGTTTGCATCCCTTCAAGGGACTCAATATATTCACTCCCCAGCCATTCTGCATATGTCCTCCTCTCTCCTACTGGCACGATTGCAACAGCAGAATCCATAAAGATCAAGTTTTTTCCTTGAAAAGCTGAAGAATCAAACATTTTGAATCCATTTCCATTGCTGCTATTTCCAAAGTAGACCTGAAAACAAAGCAAAAATTTCAGCATTTTGCAAGCAACACAAGGTGCCACATTCCCCTCAGACAACATGAAAGATGATAAGAACTGTTCTGTAGGTGAAATATTCATGCACAATTGCAGGATCTCTCTTATGCGTTTGCTTTTAGACGCTCCAGTAGATTAATACAGAATTCTGCCACTGGCAATGACAAGAACAGCATTTGTGATTTTGTGTTTTTTTCAGTTAGTATCTGGAAGCGGCTGTATTAAAAAAAAAAAAAAAAACAAAAAACCTAAGTATTGTGTAATAGATGGTTTGGCTGCACAGGAGTTACAGAAATTATTGAAGCATAACATGGAGATACTCAGTATTGCTTTTAAACTGGTTAACTTCAGTACTGACAGGAACCTAGCTGTGGCAGCCAGGCATGATAATACTAAATGGTTTATCCTGTACATGGCTGCAGCTTAAGCATACCAAGCAACGTTCTGTTGCAGTCCTAGGAAAATTCCAGGATGGAAGAAGTGTTAGCATGTACTCAATTTCTTGTAGATTTCAAAGTCATGCAGTTTGGGAAAACATGTCCAGCTCCATGAAAATTACTACTGAAACCAGTGGCTGGGCAAAAAACTGAAAATAAATCCCTTGTGCAGCAGGGTGGTTTTACTACAAGAGTTACATGGGCTGTATTTTACCTTCTCCATCCCACTCAAACAAAAGGACTCTGTGCAGCGGAGATGCTGCCAGTGCCATGATGCGGGCATCGTAATATGGCAGTATAGTCCTGTTGTCTTTATCCTTGATCTGTCTTAGACCATATATAACTCTCCCATAGAATAAATGGGTTGTTAATACCTGGGCTTTGTCCAGTAGTCCATATAGGGCAAAGACGCTGGTGTCTGGGTGAACCATAACAGCCTGAGCTGGCACCTGAGCCAGGTGACACTCAGCAAACTGGGTGACTTCAGCACGGGCACCATTTGGACACAGTAACTGGAAATTGCTGGACTTCAAGTTTTGGGCCCAACTATCAGTGTTTTTACCTAAGAAAAAGAAATTAGCCACTGTCACTCACTGAATGCTTTAGAGCAAAGAAACTCAAGAAAAATAACAATTATAATAGATAGGTAGAACTAAGTACCATCTGTGTTCTCAAACACTGTCGAGTGTTTCACGAAGGCCACATCCCCAGAGTCCTGTGCCAAGCACCTGTAGGAAATAAGATGAAAAAATTTAATTCAAAGTGTTTTCATGTGAACTGCTTTTTTCTTAGTAACTGACAGGTTTAAAATTCAATTTTTTTTTTCTTTTTTACATAAATTCCTGCAAAGTTAATAAGCGAAACCAGCCCCTGTTGCCTTTTGATTTGATGACTGGTAGCTAGCTCTGTTAATCTGTGAAGTACAGCAGAGGATCTGGAGTTTGCCTGCAAGGCATGCGCCCCAGCAGAGCAGCTGGACACAGCTAAACAGATCTGTAAAAAGTAGTCATCTATGTCTAGCACTTCCATATTTGCCAGGCAGCTGCTGCTGAAGTCTCCTACGCTGCAGGAAGAAGGCTGCTTGCTGTTACATGCACCGTGACCTTCAGAGGTGCAGGTCAGGAAAAGAAAGTGCTTCTTCCATATCTTAAGAGTTTCATAGTCCTTGGGTATGGTCCCATATACACATGTCCAACTGTTACACAAAGTATTTGTTTCATTTTATACTGTTTCCTCCTGTACCTTTAACACACATTGTTTTGAAGAGGATTTGATATCTGAACATTGGCCATAGCTGCTTGTGCTGTTCGAAAACCTGCCTTCAATACAGCCACCAATGAGTAACAGGTAGGGAAGACCCAGGTTCTGGCTCCCCATCACTCATCATGGACTTTAAGCAGCCAGATTCTGGTTTCTATTTGCCTGCTTCCCTGCTAAAGCTCTTTATGCATGACCTGAGCACTCAGAGTGGCAGACTGTCTGTCACACTAGATTAAAGCAAGACTGGAGATTCATGACAATCTGCTTGGTCCTCACTAGGTGGGTGTCTGCTGCTTTGTAAATAGACATATGGATTTGGTTGTTGGTCATCTGGTTGGCTGTGGGCCAGGAAGCTAGCAAAAGGCTTTAACATGATCTAATGCCTTATGACATACCTGTATTGCTAAAGACATCTGGGGACACATGTCCCACTTAATTTACAGGACGTGCCACCCACTGTGGCAATGATAACCACTTGTTGCTGACTGGAATTGAAAACAGATCCTCCTTGCATTTTGACAAGCTGATAGATTAGATAAACAACCGTACATATTAATTACCTGAAGGCTCCACTGTAGCTGTAGTAACGCTCTTGGCTACTTGCACTGCATTTATTGTTTCCACTACCATCTCCAATACATAGTTGACAGAGTTTTGATGGGTAACTGTCCTGCTCAGCTGAAGGCACACAGCTGGCAGAGAAAAACTCACTCACAGCTGGAAAAAGAAAGCCAAACCAATATAATGAGTGAAAAGCATGAGCTCTTCACCAGAAATCTAGTTACACTGCCATGAAGTTATAACCAGTGCAGTTTTCAGTAGAACACTAGAAACATGAGTTACAGCAGCCTTTGTTTGCAGTTTGCCTACACAAACTACAGCTTCTAAAATATTTTTAAAGCACTGTTTAGATGATTACGTAATGAAACCAAAGAACTTCCTGGGAGATAGGAAATAGGCTATGAAAATTCACATCTACGATCTGTGGTTGTAGATCTTTTTCTTGTTGAACTACATTGCTCCATTACTAAAACCAGGTTGAAAATAAACACAATAATATTCAGGACAGAGATACATCATATACTGCAATGATATCTCAGAGCTGGAAGTACCACCTAGAGGGTGTTAGAAAGACACTGACATTCTAGAGCAAGTATGGTGGAAGAGAGTAGGATGCTCAGAGAGCTGGAGCACATGACTCAGCAGTTACACCAGGCTGAGAGCTGGGTTTGGTCAGCCTTGAGATAAGACAACTAATAGCGTATTTCTGTCATCATTTACATAGTGGGTTTTTCAAGAAGACAGAGCCAGATGCTTCTCAGAGATGCAGAACAGAAGGGTGAAAAGCAACAGACAAAAGTTACAAGAAGGAAAATTCTGGTAAATTAGAAGAAAGAATTTCTTCGCACCAAGGAAGATTGAACACTGAGACGGAGGTCCAGAGAAGTTGTGTGTAATCTCCATTCTAATTGTTACTCAGAACCTGCCCAGACATGGGCCTGAGCAATCTGATCTAACTGGACCTGCTCTTGAGAAATTGACTGGACTAGATGACCTCCAAAGGTCCCTTCCAACCTAAATTAGCCAATGATTTTGTGATAAAGGGGAGGAATCCTTCCATGTCAGATACAACATTCTCAAAATGACCCCTCCGTGAGTCTACTCTGGTGGCAAACTTAAAACTTCAAACTGTGACGTTAAAAACACAACATCCCTTCACAAACAGATAAGCTTAATATAGAGCTATGAAATAACAAAATTACTTCCCTAATGCCAGTTTATCATTAGACTGTTAGTGTATTCTTGATAGATAGTACTGTTGTCTTACCTTGAGGAATATTGCAGTCTCTGGTCTTAATAATACCCCTCTTAATTAGTATACCAATGGGGATATTCCACCCGGCAGTTCTCCCCACTCCTGTGTGGCAGGACTTCTTCCCTTTCAGGTCACTGATGGTGAATGCATTGGTCAGATTTCGTTTCACTAATGCCACAGCATAGTATGCACTGCTGTTGTCATCAGCTTGCAGAAAAAAACAAAACACATTACAGCTTCCCCTAACCATTCCCAATGCTTAGTGATCATCTACAGATCCATTACACTTATCTGTGCCAACTTCAATTGCACCAACAATCAGCTAGTCAGGAAGTATGAATGTACGCGTAATTACTTTTCATTTCCACGACTTCACAGTGTTGCATTCACTTATAGCCTATATACTAGTACTGCTGTGCACTTGAACTGAATAATCTAGAGACAAACATGAAAGTGTTCATGTTAATACCAGCTCTTATAAATACATCCCTCTGAAAAACATTTGGGTCATTAGCAACTTAGCAAAATTGCTTGAAGAAGTTATTTTTATGTGAAAACTTCAAGCTTGCATTACAATTTCCATGAGTTTTGAAGCATATTGACATTCTGCCTTAGTAACACAAGCCCTTTTGTCATTGGTGACTTTAAAGCAGGCACATTGACAGGAAGAATTTGTTTCTAACTAGAATCTAGTGTGTAAATTACGTATTTCTGCTTCTGCTAAAAATATTTTTATTTTGTGAATACTGTTTTTTCCCATTGTAAGGGTTTTTCTTCAGAACTGAGAAGACAAAGAGGTTTAAGACTCAAAACTGCCAAAGATTCAACCTGGTCCTGCAGCAGGAGATAAAAGTTGTCACAAACTCACTGTAGGAACCTCTCCCATATTTATTTCCTCCTCTATCCATGATGTGAGGATAGTAATTCTCATTTCCTTTGTAAACAGCTTTTCCGGCAGGGCTTGGGAACAGTGGCTGTGCTTTTAGAGCTGTTTTCAAACAACCTGGAAAAATACAGTCTATATTTTTATTTCCTGACCTTCTTACCAGAGTAACTTTCTCCAGCGGCTGGTACAAGGCCGTGTATCTTCCCAGCTGTGTAAATATCAGCTCCACCGAGAACTACAGCATCGCTTTCCTTTTTCTGAAAAATAAAGTATAATTTAGGACTTACGTGAAAAAACAGCGGATACCTTCCCTGCTACAGTAACACCTCAAGCATCACACCCGCTGCATCTTAAAGGAAAAGTCTGACAACAAAAAGCCAGTACGCTGCTAAAGAAACCCCCTAAAACCTGCATAAAGCATCATCAGTGAAATGAGGACAGGAGATTTAATACATACAGGCTTGAGATAGATTGGCAACAGTGTCCTCATCACAACTGAAGATAACCAAAGTCCAGGCCCACCCATGTCATGATCACCTCCTTGAAATCCAGTATTTCTACTGGTCACCTAAGTGCACATATTTGTGATCCTACCCACCCAGCAGAGAGCACCTTGCATTAATCTGGTTTACCGCACAAGGACTGTAGCAGCCTACCTGGATCAGCTCCATGCACTCTTCCTTAGTGTTGGCTGAAACACACTGAATTGCTGGTTTCAAATTCTTTTTCTTAAAGGCAACAGCCATTTCACCACATTTCCAAATTTCTTCAGTGGATACAACACACCAGTTCAGGCTTTCTGGCAATGCTGCGCAGAGAAGCAAATACTACAGTTCACTTTCTTTGTAATAGACACACAAGGATACTGCCCACTGTTGCATATACACCTTATATGTTATTAAAAATGTTTACTTCTGTTTCTCTCCAGCTCACACATCTGATTAGGAACCACAGAGCTCCCCAAATTAGTGGAATGTCCGCACTGCAAGCCTGTCCATAGCAAAGGAACTAGAACTCCTATGCTTATTTAAGTGCAGACAGAATGTGTTAGCTGAGTGCAGCAAAAACCCTACCCTGAACACAGCCTTGCTCATACCTGACAGTCATGGAGCAATGCCCAGAAGAGACATGTCAGGAGAGGAGGGGCTTTGCCACAGCACAGAGCAGTCTGGGAAGCTCAGCTGTCAGGATTATTAAGCTTTTCAAGGCATGGATTCTTACAACCTGTGTTTCCGACTTTGCCAGAATGCACATCAAGTAATTTCTACATTCTTCTGATAGTATAAAAGACCATAACACTCCAGTAAAGAGCAACTGAGGATTTCTTCAGCTTCTGAAGGAAATTCTCTCCCATTCATACATTCTTTATAGATTAGCTGAGGATTTACACAGCAACATATTACTATTTTCCCTTGTTTGCAGCTAGGAAACAGAGTACCAGGCAGCAGTAGCATCGTACCAGATTAATGTCTCTCATACACCAGAAAGGGCAGAAAATGTCTGCCTCTTACAACACAAAGTGGGCCAATTTGCACAGAAAAGTATTCTGCAACGTGATGATATTTCTAGGTCAAAAGATGTACTTTCTCCAAGCTCAAAGATTAGACTGGCATCATGCCGTAACACCCCAAGAGTCAGAAGAAAATAAAGCAGAATAAAGATAGTCTCTGTTATCAGCTACCTTTATTCTTGGTTATAAATAGGAATCTAAAGACAACCTACTGTTGGGGTCGCAGCTCAGAGCTTGCATGGCATGAAGATAGTTATCACCCAGCCAGGCCTGGTAATTCTGATCTGTGATTGCAACGAGCTCTGTGGTGGAGTCTTTGAACAGAAGATTCTGTGCACCGTAGGCTGCGGAGTCAAACATCTGAAACTGGGTGCCCGCCCCATTAAATCTTTGCTGCAATGAAATAATAAAAGAAAGAAAAAAAAAAGACCTGTCACACTTCCCTCTACATAGGACATGTGACACTTGCATCTCCCTTCAAACCCCACAGAGCTGAAGGTGCCCAGATAATCCTGTCTTCAATTCACAGCTGGATGGGTGGGAGAACCCCTCTAAAATGCAACACACTGCTGAAAAGTCCTACTTGTCCCTGGTTCAGGAGATGGAAAATGACTGTCCCATCCGTGTCAGGCCGCACAACCACAGCGCGAGCTGGGACTCGGGCCAAGTGGCAGGTCCTCCACTCTGTCACATCGGCTTTGTTACCATTGCGACACAGAAGCTGGAAGTCCTGGGAGCGAAGCCGCTGGGCCCATGAAGACAGACTTCTTCCTGAAATCAGACATAACATGGTTATGGAACAGACATGAGGTGCAGCTGATGCTTTTGGCTCCATGTCTGCTCTAAGCACCGCATGCACATGTGGAGCAAAACACACATCTCTGAGTGTTGCTGAACTATTCCCGACTGCAAAATATAGCCCATACATCTACACAGTCCTTTAGTCTTGTATCTGTGGTAAGACAATAAACAGCTTAACACTTGTGAGACTGCACTGAACTGTACTGGGTCTGCAGCACTATCAAGAGCATCCCGAAGTCTAGGATTGCATGTAACATTTTCGATTGTTCCCCTCCCTCCTGTAAATGCTGGTCAGACAGGCCCATGATGGACAGAGCCTTGGAACTAGATGATCTTAAGGTCCTTTCCAACCCTAACTATTCTGATTCTATGATATTAAAGCACTGTTATGCTCAAGGTAGATTTCACAAATTGCCAGATGGGGCAGGCTGCATCTTGTTAACTTTCTGCTAGTCTCTGCTGAAATCCCTGGGTAGGCAGGAGCAGTGTAACAGCCAAGGTCTGCATAAAAGTAAGAGTTTAGTGCAGTAAGCTCTTTCCGGAAGAAGCTTAAGATTTCACCTCTAACCTTTACTAAAACTATCAAGAATTTAAAATAAATAAAATCACATGGACTCCTCTATCTCTTTGTGCACAAATCCGTAGGTACATCTGTTTTTGCTATTAGAGCATTTTTTACTGATTCCTCAATTCAAATAAATCAGTCATTTGACATTATACTGTCATTACAGACACTGTACTTCAGACCTTGAAGCCATTATTTAGCAATGGCTTATGGATTACTCACCATCTGTATTTTCAGGCACTGTGCTGTGCTTCACAAAAGCAACTTCTCCAGCACCTTCAGCCAAACACCTAATAGGTAGAAATCCAACCACAAAGATGCATTTCAAAGCACAGCTCCCGTGCACTGGACACTGATGGCTAACAGCCAGAGGGCCTGATGCTGCACTCCATCAGGCACTGACCTACTTCCCTGTGCTGAGAGTTTTGCTCAAGGCAGAGACCGGTGGCTGTCAGAGCATGAAGTAAAGTATCACTGTGATTTGGTGAACATGGACAACATGTTCAGTGCTGCCTGCAACAAACACTATGACCTTCTTTGTCCAGGATAGTTGTCTGTCTAAGGCAGTGACACAATCTTTTGGGGAATATGCAGAGAGGAGCAAGTGTTTCACATGAGCAAATTCTGTCCTTGCTCAGTTAATGCTATTACTTACGGAGTGGGAGCTGCAACACAGCACACAGACATAAGGGAAAGATTAGTGTGCAAAAACAGATGGCAGAGCAACTCGGTAATTCAGTGCAACTGAGGTGAGATGACTGAAATAGCTGAGAAGGGTGGCAATTCAGTGCTCAGACTCAAAGGATCATCAGGTTTTATTGGGAAAGATACAGCCTGCTGAAAAAAAACCCAGTGCTCAGACTTGTGTCCCCAGCTGCTGGCCAAAGCAAACAGCAAAGGGATTTGCCTGCCCACTATAGGTGCTAAATATCAATTTGGCCTTAATACCCAGGTATTAATACTTGTAATAGTGGGGTTAGAATTACATTTGTTCAGTCTCTAGGTTTAAAGCATGGCTGTCCTAATGCAATAGCAGATTTTCTAACAAGATCAGCTGGAAGCTCTCTGGCTTCAATTCCGTGTCAGTGAGGCCTGGACATGATGGCAACGGATAGAGCATAGTGATAAGAATTTTGACAGAGCCATGATTTTTACCTGAAAGCCCCACTGTAGTCGTAGTATTGCTCTTGGGAATTCTGTTCACATTTGCTCTGCCCAGTCAAGTCTCCTTTGCAGAGCTGACAGAGGGATGTGGGATAGTTTGCACCGTTTGCTCCAGGAACACAGCTTGCACTGAAATAGTCACTTACAGCTAAATGAGAATGAGAAAATTTTGCAATGAAAAACAAGATCCTAATATCTCATTTTAACACAACTACTCAGTACATCACACCTTAGAAGGGGTGAGCCATTTTGTTCTTAAAAGATGGCTTCCAAGTCTAAAAGAACCTGCAGACTTCATCAGAATGGTATTAAGCCGGTTACATTCTACAAGGAGCATCAAAGCTAAGGAACAAACAGCAGCTACAACCATGCATTTCTGTCCACCATATAGAAACATCTTGCTGAAGAACAGGTCCTTGCCCTGTAATTCCTACCTGTTGGAAGGTCACATCCCATTGCTGCCAGACGCCCACTGTCAATTAGATAACCCACTGGCACATTCCAGCCTGCAGTTCTGTTGATGCCTGTGTGACATGATCTGACATCTTTCAAGCTGTTGATGGTGATGTTGGAGCTCTTCCTTACCACAGCCACGGCATAATAGGAAGTTCCAATCTCTGCACAGGAAGAAAGAGAAGAATGCAGTAGCCTCACAGCAGCATTTCAGTGAGATACAGTTAGCTCAGAACCTGACTAATGGAGATAGCCAGCTTCTGGATCATGAAACCTGCTTGGTTTTCAGAAACTGAACTGCGGTTCCCTCACCAGGGTCATGATACGGTTAACAGTTGCTGCAGAACCAACAGGCTCACTGAGGATATCTTGGCCAGATGACAGTGAGACCAAGCTGCAAATCAAATCCAACTGCATCTCACAACAGTGGTGGGACACCACTGCCTGCAGACTGCTTCCAGAGCTGTTCCTTGCCTTGGGTCTCTGAAAGTTATAAGAGACATCTTCCAGCTCTGAATTACACAAACAGGTTGATGATACTGAGTCCTTAGTCAGGATGACAAGTCACCACTTAATTACTGTCTGTCTCGAACGGAATTCAAAGCTTAAGGACACCCAGATAGGGGCAGAATTGATCACTTCCTTTCTTCCAGCAGATAACCATATACGCTACTAAAAATAAAATGTAGTAATTCTAATTTATGGGATTGCAAGACAAACCTAATAACAATTTATGCTTTGCAATTCATTAATTTATCTGCAAAGTATGGAACAGAGAAGACAGTAAGCAGCAAGACAATACCAAAAAAAAAGCCAAAACAAAGGACAACCCAACAAACCTATTACAGGAATGGTTACTTTGATGTAATTATTTCAGGACAGACACTGCCACAACCCTGAATCTTGTTTCCCCCACACATTCTGTTACGGGCAGGAACATCCAAGAGGGAACCTGACCATTACCTACTGTTTAGAGTCTTCAAGAGGAGGACCCCAAAATAAAATGGAAACAGTAAAAATGGATAAAAGATCATACTAAGTCATCTAAACATTATTTAGAACATACCTTGATCATACACTTCCCCAACCACAGGTTTCAGACCATGCTCCTTTCCAGCCTGGTAAATCAAACGACCATTCAGTGTCACTGCATCTGCCAAATGATCCTGTGCAGACACAAAGGCAGAATACATGCTGAAGCTTACCTATCCATATTTTTCAACAGCCAGAGGCAGGATACCCGTGAATTCAGGAGAAGTCACTCCTTAATCTGCATTTCTGAGTTTTCTTTTCTCCAAAAAGCTCTTTTAAGGCCACTCATATTTCCAAAGAACAATCACCACGAGGGATTTTAGAACTTCAAAGCCACCTTCCTTCAAAAATAAGGCAGAAACCAGCCCTGGACTGTGATGGCCTCACCAGTATTCATAGTCCAAAGGAATATTAGAAATGGATCCTGCAACTCAGTGTTGAATCTTAAAGCCCATTAGTTTGGAGTTTCATTCATTTCTACAGCTAAAGAAAAGACCTAAATAAATATATTTTTGAAGTTATACACAGATAGTCTGAAGTAATGTCTTCTTGGGCTGCAAAATCTGAATGCCAAAGTATACTCATGCAAAAGCAACCCTAAAGTATGCTGGCTTGTACCTCAGCAGACAAACAGCCACACAGCTGGGAGAGGGGGAGCAGATGACAGTGCATTTTAGAGGAGGAGATCATCTAAAAAACCTCCCCAAAGTGGGGGAGTACAAATCTGGGGCACCCACTGGTGGGAAGGTGTCCCACAATACTGTATCTTTTCAGCTGACTGTAACACCAATCTGGCTGGAATCCCATGGCATCAAGGACTAGAGAACTGCTAGAACACAGCTCTGACCAGCTGAGCCTGACTCACTCTGTGTACTGAACCTAGCGGAAGTCAGGAGAGGGCAACTTGCACAGGGACAAGATACGGCCAAGAAAATAATCAGCAGCTTGTCATTTTGCATTGCTAAGCTAACCCCAAGTTTCTTATCAGTTTGCTTAACCTCTGGTTCAGCACTGGAGGGGTAATTAGTTTATCCATATCTTGGCAGTTTGCTGAGCCTTGGTTAGGGTAGGGCTAAGACTATGCTGCCCAGTATAACACAGCAATTTCCTACAGGTTGAGCCACATAAAAGGTTTGAAATTTTTCTAAGGGATCATGCGAGAGCACAGGTAATACATTGATGTTGGCACCTAAATCAGATTTGAAGTTCCCATGTAATCTAAAATATTTTGCTTATTTGGTTCAAAGGAGAAATAAAAAAATGTTTATCAATTAGCTGAAACAACAGATTTTCTTAGAGTTGCTTCTTTTTCATAAGAGCTGAACAAAGCTCCAAAGGAACCTGGAGAGGAGCTGTGTTGGGAGATATTTGCATCTTAAAGAGCATTCACAATCCTTCAGGAATAACCAGGTCTGATATTCCATCAGTGAGAGTCAGAGCACAGGACAAAAGTTTAGGAATCAAATATGGCCAGTTGTTTAGAAGACACACCTGACAGTGAGAAGAAGAAGAGGAGGTGGGAGTTAAAAGGACTTCACCCTCAGAATAAAATGGGCTTCTAGAACTGGTGGTGGATCAGGAACAGAGCAGATAAAATGGGAAAGGCTGGACACAGAAGACAAGGACTGTGTTATGTGGACGTACTTCCAATGTCAGATTGGAAGGCTGAGCCTTTGAGCTCTGTTTAGCAGAAGAGCCTCCTATCAATAGCTTGTGTATAAACAACAGGACAAGAAACAATGCCTGTTATATTTAATGTGAAGTAGTTCACAGGCTACAGACCTCTCTTCCAGATGCATACAATCACTTCTGAGGTTGCATATCAGCAAGTGTGGGTATTCTATTTTTTCCTTGTAACAAGTATTTGCCAATACATTTCAGAAAAGCACAGGATTATTCCACACACAATTTGGTGGGTTTTTTGTAAGTTTATGTGCCATGGTAATACCCCGTTAATTATTTTCAGAGGGACTTCATTTCTGTCTCACAACATTTGAGAATTACCTACAGAAGTACTGACAGACCTGCTGAAGAACAGCTCTGGTCACATTAAATATTGCCAGGCTCCCCAGGTTAATATTTAGACATTTCTCAATTTTTAAACACCTTCAAATAAAAAGGTTTTTTACTTTATCCATGTGCTAACACATTCACAGGACCAAGTCCAAGTTATGCAGTTATAAAACAGCGTATTTCTGCCTCTTCAGCCACTGCGTCGCATTCCCTTTTTGGCCTCAAGGAGCAGAGTTCAGTGTGGAAGCAGACTCAGGGGTTCCTCACAGTCCTACACAGAGTAGGCCAGCTTAAACATTTAGCAGATTATTAGCACAAGAAAAAAAGAGGTCACAAGGACAAAGCCTCATCTGAAGCCTTACAGTGAAGATTCATTTTATCAGAAAGCTACTTACGCTATCTGCCTGCAGGTTTCTGAGTTCAGCTAATCAAGTTTTACAGGAACCCAAGGTTTCAGATATGTGCCTGCTGCTTGCAGGGACTTAGAAATGCAGTTCTGCGTGCACTGGATGTCAGAAGACACTCACCAGCCCCTTTAACAACCTCTCTGCAGAGTCTAACAGGTCCTCCTATTTAATGTGGCCATCAGCAGCTTTAGGGAGATCTGACATCAGAAATTATTTCCTGTGTAATCCTGAGGCAAGACCCACACATGTATTTATATCTGCTCCTAACGTTTTTCAATACAGTCTTGATTCCCTCACCCAAGAACAGTATTTATCAAGAGGCAGTGAGGTGGCTTTAGTAGTCAGACAACCCTTCTGCTTCTGCTGACAAAAATTTACAAGATTCCAATTGCAGGAATTCGTTCCTTTTTCTGGCCACAAAACCACTTGTCTCCTCTCCCTTCAAACTACTCTGCTGGGCCTCATTTCTGGTTCTGAACCTCTTGTCCTTGACAGGCTGCATCTTTTCAACAAAACCCTGATTTCTGGCCATTTGTACACAGGATACAAAGAATATTATTTATTAGCACAGCCAGCTATCCTCCTCTGCTCCCACACTGCCAGTGGAGACAGCTATGACTGCTTCCATGTTTCCTCCAATATCCACCTGTTGCCTCCCAGGGAATTATTTTCCATACACCATTTTGCAAAGCCATACATTTACAGTCTTTAAAACGTTCCCCAGAGCTGTGCTCCTTTTGGAAACTGAGCATGTGCTGGGCAGCTGAATTAATACAGCTGGGTTTCCGCACCCTCTGCTCACCCTTATTATTGCTTTGTCTTCTCTTGTACTCTGGTATTGGGAGGTTTAATTTGGCCTTACACTCATCTCATCTGTATATACAGCAATTTCCATGATGGGACCCTGAAATGGGAGTTTGATACAGAGTTTATTGAAACACAATCTACATACAGGCTCAGCAGCACAGCTTTAACTAGCGTCTGCACCTTACAGCTTCATCCTTTCCTAAATATCTGCTACATACATCTGACACAATTCCTAAACTAAAGATTAGCATCTGGGAGGAAATATTTAAGGCTTTTGCTGTGCTCCTAACGACTGGCCATATGCCACTAGCCAAAGAGATGAAATGGGGCCATTCTGACATTCAGGTTCATATGTGCGCCTTTACAACTTTTTTAAAACCTATACTTTGATTTTTCACAGACATGAATGCCAGGAAGCATATGGTGAGCTGCCTCGATCATGAGACACTTGCTGCAGAGCTGTGCACATCACCACTCAATTATTGTGAGGCACACGAGGAATTAAATCAATGACACTGCTGTCCCTCACAACTCACCTTGATCATCTGGGTGCAGTTAGCAGCTGACCCCCCCTCTGTACACTGTAGAGGCGGAAGGATGCCAGCCCTGCCAAAGGCCTTACTCATGTCATAACACTTGGAAAGTTCTTGCTTAGAAACAGTGCACCACCGGATACGTTCCAGGCTGAGAGCTGCAAAAACAACATCAAGAGAAAACATTATAAAAACACATCAGTGCCTTCGTTACAGAGCTTACATTTTAAAGGCTCCTGAACAGCCAACCTTTCATTCCGTTCCTCCATCCAAAACAAAAAGAAAGCAGGGCTCTTTCAACACTAAGTCTTTAGAGACAATTCCCACTTTCATCCAGATTAACATGAAGCTTTTTGGACTAGAAATAGGCTTATACTCAGATACTGAAACCCCATGACATTTGTTTCTGGCATAAGAAATACAGGTACTGTGGAGTAGGTCAGGGTGTCCGGACCTTTCTTAAAACCTTGCAGAATACATCATCTTTTCTTGACTCAAAAGTATTTGAAATGATTATTTAAAATGGTACACTACAAAAACAAAGAGATGGTAGAACTGTCTCAAGCAGTACTAGTTAGTACCTGGCATCCTGCCCCAGCGCTTTCTGGTCTGAATAAAGAAAGCAATCTTAGGTGCTCAAGAGCCTTGCCACTAGGCCTATTACAAAACACAGAAAAGTAAACTTGTCCCTTCAAACCACTCTTTTATAAGAGGCCATTTTCAGAGTCACAAAATGGAAGGGTGGTTCTATGAAAGACTCAAGTTTAGTAGTGGAGATTCCATTAATCAGTGAAGAAAGGTACCTTTCAGCAGGCCCAAACACTATCCTTTTATGTGCCAAAGCTACAAACACTTGGTTGCTTTTTTAAGGATATGCACAAACAGTGCAGCCGTACATAAAATGCATATGAAAGTACAGTTTATGGTGACAAACAGGCAACAGATCATTTTTGTAAGCAGAGGGCAGCACATTCCATTGCTTTTCTACAACTTGGAGCCTACTGTGAGTTGTCATGTACTTGTTTTGCACCTGATACTGGAACAGAGGCTTTTGGCTTGCTGTGCCACTGCAACCCAGAGCCAACTCTACTGCTGTCAACAAACATCAGGTCAGACTTGGAAAGCTTACAGGAAGCTTTCACGGCAGCATGTGCCAGTAGAGGGAGAAACACCTGCCCGCCTCCGAGTTACAGGAAATCTGACAACCAAGATGGTTAGAAAAAAGAAAGGTACAACAGGGTCACGGCAAGAAGGCACCTCCTGGAAACTTAACATCTGCCTCATCCACCTTGGTGAAATTTTCACCATTAATTTCTTGGGGCAGGAGGAAGAACCTTGAATTTTCCTTCTAAACACAAGCAAATGAAAATTGGGGTCTCAGTATCCCAGTAAGAGACATTCTTTGGCTTCAGCGTTCTGGTTTTAGATATAAACACACAAGATACTGCATGAAGAAATCATTATCCATGTACACCTGAAACATGAAACAAAGCTCTGCATTTCAGCCAAAATAGTGAAATAGCATGACTCTGTTGCATTTTTCCTCACTCATCTGAAAGAGGCATTTAATTTGCCCCTTCCTAAACTGCTGAACTGTTGTTTAGATCCTGGGCAATTTCCGGTGTCCTTCCTTAAAAGTCAACCCAACTGAAATGGGTTTGAGCACAGACGAGAAGTCTCTAGTCAGCTTCTCTTCCTACTGCCAACCAGGAACATCTTAAAACAGCAGATCAGTCTCTGAACCCACAGATCCTTCTGTATATGTGTAGATGTACATACAGCGTGAAATGACGGGAGCTGGCAAACTCCTTCTGAAATACACTGAAGGTCCTAAACACACACACAATTTAACAGCAGCAAACATGAAATGAACTCCATTACTGAAAGTAACAGTACAAATTGCCTAACACCAAATGGCCACTAATAAATACACTGGGAAGGAATTTCAACAGAAATCATGGGTGGGGGTGGGGAGCATGAACTAGGAAAACTACTTTTTGGTGAACTTCTGAGTGCTTCAAGAAACGGCATCTACACCGCTGGTGACAGTAAAAGCATTCACCATCAGAATTTGGGAGTGACAGGAGAGAGCCAACGCACCACACAGCCCACAAGTGGAATAAGGTAATTATTTCTATTTTTACAAAACACGTGTCACAGAACTGTTCACAATTGTGAGAAACAGACACCACTGAACCAAAAGAAGTAGCTTCAGTGCGGAGGAAATGCAACATTTAATGCCAACGAGTCAAGAAAGACACGTACATGGTAACCAATAAACTTTTTCTACTCCTTTTCTATTTTTACTGTTCATTCTTTCCATTTCTTTTCCTGGCCATATGAGATTGGTTCTGAAACAGTTCCAGTTTCCCTCTGCTCTCTCACATCACATAGAAGGCAACCCCAAAGTCAGCAACAGTTTTTGGAGGGCACTTACCAGCATGAAAGAAGAGAAGACAGAAGACACTTCTAGCGCACTTCATGGTGAAAATTTTGGGATTTGTGTTTTTTTCGAGCCTTCAGAACCCCCAGAGACCAAGGCTTCTGCAAGCGTGCTCTCCCCACCCTGCTCTTCAGTGAAAACCAGCAGCATTCAATTGCAGATGCACTTTGTTCAACAGTTTATCTTGCTTACCTTGGCACACGTCGCCTCGTAATGACCGGGGGGGAAGCCTACCTCTCTTCACATTGCCCTACACTTGCAAAAACATTCAGACTAGGAAATTGCAAAATATCTGAGGCACCAATGAGAGGCTGTTACTGCTTTAGCACCACTTACAGACTTAGATAAACAGCTACACCCCAGTGCTAGGGGTAAGGCAAGGCTGTGTAAAGAAATCCTCATTTTCATTTCTGTGTATTCCCTATGTGTTTCGGCTCAGGAAGCAAAAGTAGATTCAATCTGACTTCATCTGACAGAGCTGATGGCCACTTTGTTGTGGTTTTTTTTTTTTACACCACATACCAAGCGTTGTCATGAATTGTCAATGAATAAAGCCAAAACAAGAAATCAAGGCTTTCAGAACAGTGAAGCCCAGACATTCTACAGGTGGTTCAGTACATGCATCTCCTGAAATCTAATAGCAAACGCTATGACATAGCTGAAGTAGTTTGATTTTTAAGGTTTTAGAGAAAGCTTAGGAAGGCTTCTGTCCCTCAGAAAGGGAACAAACTCTGTTGACAACAGCTCTGGTAAAAGCTGCCATGACTTTTAGAGTAGCTTTTACAGAGCAACACTCACTTGTGAAGCTCTTTTTATTTCCCATTAGTCAATGAACTGCAGCAGCCAGTAACGCTTTGTTTAGATAAAAGCCATTTAATGCTGTCTTGCTCTACTAACTGCCTTTTCTCAGCTCGGCACCCAGCTACCAGAGGAACAACGGCTCTGTGGTGCCATGAATCACTACGCACACACATCTTCACCATCTTGTATTGAGAACATGCATGAAATACACAACTGTTGCATCCTCCAGTCTGTCCATCCGGCAGAGGTGCTTTCAGGACTTAAGTTACACAGCTACTTGACTGCACTTTGGCCAGGCTGTTAGCTTTAACACCTACTAGCACCTGTAAGACAACAGCTGAGTTTAAGTCAATTAATTGCTATTTCAAGTTTGGAACTTCAAAAAAAAAAAAAAAAAAAAGGATAATGACCCCCTTAGACCTTCTTCTCAAACAAAACCTTATGGCTTTACTTTGATTCTTGGCTGTCCAGACAATCTGGCATTGGTCATTCCTTTGTTGTCTGAAGTGTTAAAAAACAACCTGGCACCTCTGAAGTACTTCCTAATTTCTAGAAGGATCCATTATTTGGATCCTTCCTGTGCCCTTCCCACTGTCTAGATTAACCTCTCCATATTAATCTCCTCTGATGCTTGCAGCGTGGCCTACATACACATACAGATGAGAAGACTGATACATAGTCCTAGAACCAATTGCTTAACACTGCAAGGGCAAGATTAATAAGAAATGCATTCAGTGCCAGGCCTCTCCTGTGGTGGTTCTGATCCTCTTGAGGAAAGGTTCAGAAGATGGAGGAGCAGCCTTTTTGTACAGGAGGTCTATTCTGAATGCAACCCCCTCTAGGATGAACACAAGCACAGTTCATAAAAATTTAGCTCATTTGCCTATTTTAGTCATAACTGTGCTTTAAGGAGATATTAAATTTCTTAACCTAATTTTCAGTGCAATTTAGCAAAAATGCCCACAAGAGAAATTAATATAACTTAAAGAGCAACAAATACTTCAATCAAGCATGCTTCTGTATAGCAGTCACAAATAGTTGGGTTAACAGGTACCCATGGTGCCTTCACTGGGCCAGCAAAAGTAGGATGATAACGCATCAGGTATGATACCATTTAGATTTCCTAATCATTCTAGTTGTTAAATTGGAAGTACACGTATTGTAAAATGTGTCTTTAAAATACAGAAAGTAAAGTGTTCCCAAGAATCAAAGACATTAGCACCCAATACTGGAAAAGAGATCCAGAAACATTGATTAACACAAAATCCTAAAAATTACGAGCTAAAACAAGTCAACTAGGATCATCAGCGCTGTCACTACCAACTTTTCTGCCAGGGCTCAAAAGCAACATCTGGAAGAAAGAAAACCAAAAATGTGAAGAAGATACCCCAGTACTTTGGGCTTTCTTGATTCAAGACTTGTTCTCATGCCAGCATGGTAACAGTGCAAGGTAAGTACTGTGGACTTCAGTCTCAGTATAGTATTTGATGACACCTGTCTAGTACGTGACAACCTGGGAGAAAAGTTCTGTGAAAGTTATTCAGGCACTCCCCATGTGTTAAAAAGTAATTCCACATTTACCTACTCAGATGAACAGGAGTCTGCTGGGTTTAAAAAGGAAGGGGGGGGGGGGGAAGGGGGGAAAGGTTCCCCCCCCAGTACACAGTACAGCGGTCTGAGATAAATGGTTTGCTGATTTAATAGCTGAGATTTAGATCCTTCTAGTTACTCTAAAGTTGATCTGTTTTAAGGTGTCTCACTCTACACCTCAGATAATCAGACACTTTCAAAGAGGCAGACTACAGTCCACTTTTAACTCCTTTAAAAATTTATGACATTATTTATCAAAAGTTGCATCAGTCTTACACACCTGCATTTCCATCAACAGGAGTCTCAGAAAGACAACACACCTTACTTCACAAATCTAGAAACCCAAGAATTATTTGCCAGCAGCTTACACTCACTGTGAGTCATATAAGCATTCCACGTAACACCAGCAATATTTGTATCACAAGTTTAGATCAGCTTTTAATGTAACAACTTCATTAGCCCCAGTCTGGTCGCCAGTGTTCCTTTAACACATTATTTTCACTTACAGTGTGAGTCAATTATTTTAAATGCTACAACACCTGTATTTCCTTTGATTAAAAACACACTTGACAAATATATTGTACAATAAAGTTTATTAGCTGTTCTCCTCTTTCTAACAAATGGAATGGATAGTGTCGATAATTTGTTACAAACCAAAGCTAATTTGGTTGTGTGACTGCCCCGTGCCTGCCATAAGTACATCCCTCTTATAAACCATCAGTTGCAAACAAGCAATGGCAGGTACCAAGTAAGATGGGAATTAGAGAATTTCATTACAGAAGGTATTCTGTGTTTTGGTACAATGTATTTATAACATTCGGCACAGAAGTTTGTGCATTGTAAAAGGAAGATCTTGTGCCTGTGCAATCAGAGATGAACATGTACAGAAAAATAAAATGTACTGTTGACTCCAAATTCTCCCTTTCGTTAAGACATGCATATTAGGGGGGAGTTGTGAGGGGTGGCGAATACAAACACCTGAAATTCCGTAGAAAAGAGGAGAACTTGCATGTATTTTTTTCTTGTAACTAATACTCCCTGGACTTTATGCCCAGCCGCCATAGCCCGTTTGATTTTTCATAATTAAGGAAGGTAAATTCTGATTTGTAATTTTATTCAAAACAAAAAGCTAGGAGTAGGTGGTAAAAGAAAAATATATATTTTATATATATATATTTATACGTGTGCGCAACTATGTAAAGAAAATAATTCCCATAGTTACAGAGTTTAGTTAAAGAAAGTTTAATATATATATATTTATTATAACAAAATAGGCAGTTATTGTGGGTAAAATATTCATTAAAATCTGACCCCTAAGAACACACACATTTTTAAGCTATGAATCATTCTCTCATTGCCCTAATGACCATCTCTGCAGCTGTTTTCTGTATTACTGCCAATGGAAATTTGGCAGTCCTCTGAAAAATACAAGGTTTCCTAGCACCTAAACATATTTTAGGCTGAAAAAGTGTGATGACCATTACCTATAAACAATTTCTGTAAGACACTATAAATAGTGTTTCACAAGGAAGATTAAAAACATTACACATCTTTGTCCCTAGCAATTTTATTGGCAAAAAATGAAAAAATAGATTTTAAGAATATCCATATGAAATTATGAAAATGAATATCCCTTGAGTGACTTAATGAAAATGTTAACTCAAAATTTGAAAATTTCTCTCTAACTGCCTGGAAAAAAAAATATTACTGTGAGAATAGAATTTTTAAACTCAGAAAATAAAACCTGAAATTGATTGCCCTGACCAAACCATGCTATTAAAAGTTAAGCGTGCAAAGTTACTAATGATTTACAACTTCCTTGAATACAACTTTTCCTTCAATTGTTATGAAATTTTAAAAGAATGTCTATAAAGCTTTTTCGAAAAATCTTTGAAAGTTACTTTCCCTTAAACATTAAGGAATTTTACCAAGCAATTCCCTCCCACCCCCACCCCAAACTAATAGCTGGTCAGGCCATTCCATTGTCATGTTTGAAAAATGGCAAACCAACAGAGCACAATAATACAAATTATTTAAACTAAGAGAGACACCAAATGTAAAGCATTATGGGAACTGCAGAATGTGATGGTTAGGGTATGAACCACGCTGGAAAGAACTAGAGGCAGGCTCCACTGGAAGGGCTTAAGAGTTGTCAGATGTAGTAGGTGATGTCAGTTAGAAAATGGAAAATAAAAATCTGTTTTCATAATTTTTCCTTTGCTGGAACCCAGATGTAAGGCCCAGACTGTTCCTCTATGATCTGTTTCACTTGGTTGTAGATTTCTTCCAGTGTGTCTCCTTGGACAATAGCTGCAAAACATAATGTAGCAATCAGCAATCATTCTTCCTAGCACCGTACAGAAACCACAATGTTTCAAGCCAAGCTTTTCTTTTCTCTGAGTGGCAAGAGGACTTTAGATTACTGAAGGAACAGACACACACTGAGATTTCTGGTTTCTGTGCTGGAGTGAAGCACATTATTGATGGCATTACAGGACATACAAAGTACCATCTCACCCACTCAGAGGCTTTGGGTCAGGAAGTGGTTTTCACATTGCTACAAACATACACATACAACTGAGGAGGTCTTCTTTTCCTAACCACATGTTGTTTCCCTGAGTCAGTCTGCACCCTCCAGTATTCTTTTTGGTCTAACCTTCATGTGTGTTTCCAACACAACAAGGCAAGACAGTACAGGGCTATGACCCTCATGCAGTCAGGCTGAGTCAGGCTTGGTGTGATGAGACTGGTGAACTTCCCAGCTGCATCCTGAAGCTTCACAGCAAAGCTGGTTGACCTTAGGATTTCCACCTGCTAGCACTACCTTTGCTTTTGTCCAAAAAGAGGAGGAGCTCATGGAGTTTGTTGCCCAGTTAAAAGAGTTAAGTTTTATAGACAACAAGCTTCCTCACACAGTTAAACATGCAATTTATATTCAGATGGTGTAAGTTAGATATTTTATCCAAGGATATAAAATAATTAGAGATAAGCCAATGTGGATGTATTCTGATATATCAGAGTATAGCACCATCTGGTGAAAATGAGGATGAAGTTTGAGCTGTTCTTACCATACC